GCAAAAACGTGACCAAACAGACTCCAAAAAATGTTCATGAAGCTGTTTGTTCACTGATGTTTTCTAAGAAACGTCACAGGAACAGGAGTATTTGTCTTGATGAAGCACTTGATTTTATGTGAATATGAACAAACACTTTTTAGATTTCTTTTACAAAAACATAAGCTTATGTCGGTCTTTCACATAAAACCTCATTCAAATACATTGAGGTCTGTGGTTGGTCTGTAATTTTTGCAGAGGAGTTTTCTCTTATCTTTTATTTGTGTGTTTTCTTTTTCTTTTTTTTTTCAACAAATGACAGCTTGCAGCTCTCACCAGTGAGATAAGGTTCGTCAGCGTCAGCTTGATCATAACCTGCACTCTTTCCTTAGGTTCAACTGCAGGACGAATGTTCTTGTTGTAGCTTTTGAACAAGTCGTAAATCAGCTCAGACTCCTCATTACACGCCACTGTAGGAATGAAACACAGGATGTAAAAGAGGCAGCAGGGGAATTTTTTTCCAACAATCATGACATTTTTAATAAACATGAAATCAGTCTGCTAAATCTGTTTTATAGCTTTAGCCTTGTTGTACACCTGTCTTCCAAGTGTTTGATATGCCACAGGCACAAACATATAATTTCTATGACTCTGAGCAGCAACCCTAAATCTGCACCTTAAATCACTTGGCTCATAAACTCTAGAATTAGTTGTCATGTTTTGCAATAAAAGTCAAAGTTACACACGACAAAACATGGAATCGTGTCCTCCCTTATGAGCCGGCAGCATGGCTGGTCCTGCCAGGCGCAAATATTTAACCTACCCATGGGACAGTTTGCATAGCTGCCGCTCTGTAATGACAGCGTTGACAGCTGCTTCATTTTTTTAATCATTAAATACAGATGAGCTTCATGTAATATGCATTCAGAGACAAACATGCTCAAAGTGTGAAAATCTGAATATCTAAGTGCATCAGTCTTTGAGCTCCTCTAAATAAAAACGAAAAAACAAGTTGAAGGACAGAAATCTGTGAATTCGGTTTGATCTGCGGTAATAGAAATAACATTGCACCGCATATCCGTTTGAAACAATGCTGTTGACTTCAGTGCAGGGCTATTTGAGCTGAACAGTATGTACTTATCTTCTAAATACAGCTCACTCAATCAACTCAAGTGCATACGAGGTTTAGTCAGTATTTAATGTCAGCGCTTTGACCTCTCTTCACTTCCTGCAGCTGATACCGAAATCGTCGTGAAGACGAGCGTAGAGAAAAGAAATCGTACGGAGGATGGCAGAAGGGCGCATCAAAACTTTGACAAACAAAACCTGCAACAGGATCTTTTATACCTGGTGATACGAAGGCAGACAGCGTCTTGTGTCAGAGCAACATGACCGTACGGGTAAATATTGCAACATCGCTGTTTCAGCTTTGTAAATAACTGACTTTTTGTGCTGAGCTAATCACTGGCAAATAGCACAAAAAAAATACATTCAGGTCAATGACAATGTATTCAAATGTTTTTACAACGCATGATGCAATTATCACCAGGTTAAAAAGTGCAAACAAATTCAAACAAAAAATTAATTGCTCATTCTCATCTCTACCTTCCCTGCTTTGGTTTGTCATCCTCATTTAGGAGTATATCTTTAAAAGACTTAAGGAGTTATTTGTTATTTCAGTAACGACATATTTAGATGTGTGACATTGCTGCCGTCACCTCTGATGTGCAACTTTTTGATCTCAACCAATGTTGTCTAAAATATGTGGGGCATATTTCAGAAAATCCATTCTGAAAACTCTAGTCTGCATGAACACACCAGATGTGGCCTTCCATGTGAAAACCGCTTTCTTCCCAAGTTCTAACAAAAGATCAAAAGGCTATTCACTGATTCACATTTCTGTCTTTCTAAACTTCCCCAACAGAACCTCGTGTCTCATGCAGGAAATACATCCGAAGTGCAATAATGCATTTCTTCAGTTAATGCTCAGCAAACAATGTCTTTAATACATATTGATTGGGTCATGCTGAAGTGTAGGGATGCAGAGACAGGACAGATTTCTGGACTCCAGTCTCATGAATATTATCAAGAACATTATCAAGAATAGAACAGGTTCGAAAGGGGAGCTGGATCCAGTAGCACTGACCAGCATCCAGATGCAGCTGGTTTTGATAGAACATCATTAGGCTGCATTTCTGCTTTGTTTTTTATATTTATGAGTGTCAAATATGGAATAGAAACAAAGCATGTAAAAGCCTTTCTGTCGACTCCTGAAAGACCAGCAGTCCTGAAAGACCAGCAGTTTTTGTTTTATTAATCTGCATTTAACCAAATAAAATTCACGGAGATCAAGAACTCTTTCACAAGGGCAAGAAGGCAGCAGCACACGTCAGGTAAGACTCGAGAACAGAAATAACAGAAATAGACATTAGAAATATAGAAATGTCAACAATTTGACAACAAAGAGCAGTAGTTGTGACAATACTAACTTTAAAACAGTCAATTTGTCAATTTAAGATTTAAAACAGATATCTGTGCTTGGTAAATGTTTGCTAAAGTTAAACTTTTAATTATCTTTAATTATTTTGTGAATGTGATTTTTTTTTAAGTTTATTTCTAAAACATTGCTCACAGTTTACAAAATCTGCATTATTATCCTCGTGGTTCAGATAATTTTAATTTGGCCTTACAGTGATTTAAAATACAACATAATTAATTGCATTAAATAGTAATTCTATGTTAGTTTTCATATATTTCTCAACTGAAGTGAACTCATTTTAGTGATAAGTAAATCCTGATCTGAAAATGATACAGATATTTTTTGTTGTCTTTAAATGATTGAGAAAGAACATTAGAAGAAAATCTAGTGGATTATGAAACTGTATATTCAGATAGTTTGATTTTTGGTGTTTCTGTTTTTTTGTCATGTTAAATAAATAACTAGAGTAAACAGAAAAACTGTAGGCTCAGTGATGATTTCTTTAAGAGACAAAATGCAAACCAACTAGAAATAGTTTCCCCTGTTACAGTTATTATATCTTTACCAGATTTCAGTGTTAAACTGGAGGATTTTCTTCTAAAGAGCAGAATTCATGTTTCTATCAGTTATAACAAACCATCGTCACAATACAACCACCATGTTGATCTGTTGATTATAATTTCCTTTTCAGTTTTGCGTCTGATGTAAAATGACATTTTAAAAAAGTTTCCCTTTTATCCAGTCAATCCAAGTACTCTTTTGCAAAGTCTTGAAAATAAAATAAAATGTTTAGCAAATGCAAGTGAAGTATCTTTTAAGTTTTCCCACGGATTCACTTTTTGTTCGTATTTCTTATTGATGAACTCTGACCTTAACTGTGAGGTCGGAGATTCTTCAAATATCATTCTTGGTTCTTTTATAACATCCTGGATAAGCTGTAGTATGTAATTCTGTTAGGCTGAACACTTCTGGGAAGATTCTTATCCATAATTTCCATTTGTGGCTCTCACTGTGGATTTTAACATGCTTTAATGAATCTTCCAGACTGACAGACTTTAGATTTTGATATGATGTGTTGTTTTCTTTTAGCCTATTTCATGTTGCCAAAGAAATTTGTTTAATTTTTTTGACAAGAAACTTTACATCAAACAATACTTACTTGTGAAAATTAGCCAAGCTTTAAAAAACATAATGAGGTTAACTGCAGTAAATTCACTATTTAACAAGAAGCGTCAAACACTTTTCAGGCGCCAGAGTAACTTAGGTAATTATTAACCCTTAACTGAAAGTAGAATTTTAAAACTACTTTTAGTGATAATAATTAATAAGAATAACAAAACCGACAGATCAACAATCCTAACACTCCTGTTTGCACATTTGAATCATAATCTACGTTGGGATCCTGTATGTTGGGGCCTTGACTGTTTTCAGCACGATGAGTTGTGTGTGGCTGTCAGTGGGATCAACCACCCCACCACTGGCCCCACACGCTTTAAATACCTGAATTCAATATCAGGATCGTTCAAAAATAAAGAATAATAATCCTTCGTTTGGTAATGTTCCCAGACATCTGTTACAGGTATCTCTTTCCCCTTTCTCCTACTCTCACATTATTCATACTATCATGTTTTTCATTTAAACTGTATAAACAAATTAAGAATTATACTTATAATAAACCCTTTGGAGATTAAATTTAGTTTTAATGGCAGAAACCGGTAAAAGTCCTAGTAAGCATAATAAAACCTGCATTCTTACTAAATTCCATCTTATTTTGTTTCGTCTTATGGGTTGTAAATGGTTAACATGACTTACTTCTAGACCACAGGACATTTTCTACACATAATGAATTGCTAAAACGAAGACCTTTACAGTTGCTCATCCTTGAACACGGATCGTCTGTCCACATATAGCGTCATAACTGCACAGCCTGCCAGTCACTGAAGATCAACCAAAAGTTTGCAAACACACCACTTACCCAGGCTCGTTAGAGTCCCCAGAGCAGTTAGAAAGACGAAAAATATCCCTAAACAGCGCAGAGCCATTATGTCCCCTGGAGCCCCCTAATGCATTCCACTTGACTATGTTTAAATATAAAGTGAGGAGGAGAAAGAGTGTGAGAGTAAAGACCGAAGGGGAAGAGCCTTAAATCCCCCCTATCAAACACCCTGACTGTTGTCCAGCCCCGCTGTCGGTCCATCCGAGGCTCGGGTTACACAGCAGCTGGAGGCACTAAACCCGGACTTCAAGTCACACTCCAGTCATCCACAATAATCATCATCAAGATCATCGAACAACTACAGCAATGCAACCCGTCCGTCCTGTGCAGTTCAGTTTCTGAAACTGCTTCCTGTCGACATGCATGTATCCAGTTTTATTGGTTTGTTTTTAGCTGTATTTGTGTGAAACTAACGAAAAGCCACGGATTCACAAACCCCCATGGGGGTCGCAAGGAGAACAGGTGACTGGATGTGTGGGCCTGCCCCCCTCCAATCAACCCCCCTCTGCTATGAATGCTGGGTATTAATACATACTGCAGACTCATACCACTTCCACTGCAGGAGTCCTGCAGCAAGACAGAGACTGAGGATTACCAGTATTCATAGGAGACACTGCTTAGAAAAATCAATAACCCACCGGGGAGCGAGTCTCTGATCTGCATCAAGATAAGTCAGCTAACTTTTATGTTTTCTGCAGCTCACTCCAAGATGGCAGTGAAAATATAACTGACATGCTTTAGGGTTGTAAGGTTTGCTGTGAGTAACAATTAAATTGTCTTTATTCAGGGTGACAATGAGAAATCTGGAATGTGCCATGCGAGTTGCTCAGAATGTGACGTACTTCTAAATATACAGCAAGGAAAACAGAGATGAGCTTCTTTACAGTAACTAGAATTCAGAGAGGGTGTGGGTGTCTCACACTTACAACTCAGACGCAGGTCCAAAGCAGTCACACTTTCAGGTTTAGAAAACACTTATGTTTACATGCAGGACAATATCAAAAAAGTACAAAATAAGTTTTCAGCGAGGGTCTTCGACTAAAGCTTATTGGACTGCCTTTCATTAAACACACAAAGGGTTTTAGAAGCAAATAAAACCACTGAGGTATGACACAGAGATAGAAAAAAACCCATTATACAACAAAAAAAGGGTTGCATATCTTTAGGACAAAAAGGAAATGACAAAAAACACAGCATCAACACTTTAGAGAAATAAATCTGCAAATAATGAGACACTGATTCAGATACAGAATCAAAAACCAAGAAACATTTTTGTTTTCATATTTTGTTACTTTCAATAAATTAGTCATTTTCCTGCTGATCTCTGCACATTTCACCCGCAAGAGCTAGCAAATAAAGTAAAGTACAGGGACAGCAGTCTCTTTTTCCCTATCAGTGATTCGAAGATCGTCGGGGAAAACCCAGATTTAAAATATTGTGCCTACTAAACAGTTTTGCAAAATGCTCACTTGATTTGGTCATGATTTGGTGGTTACTTTCCTTTCCATCAGCACACTAGTCACACTAGTGTTTCTCACTTTGCTTCCTCATTTCCAACCCAGCTTTTGTTAGCGAAACAACGATTTGCAGTTTGTGAAATGGTGCTGTTGTTTATTTAAGGTTATTAAACATGAAACCCAATATGTCAGGGAATATGCTCTGAATTATAAAAGGCTGCATTGAGTCAACATTTACAGAACCACCGCCATATTTTGCCCATTCCTCTTTGAAAGACAGCTAAAGGTCAGTCATATTGCATGCAACCCTAACCCTGCAATTCAGTAGTGTCTAACAGGGCAACACAGATTCCCATACACATACTCCCTCCTAAGAACAATTCAGAGAAGCCAGTTAACCTAACATTCATATTTTCTTTTATTTGACTGTTAGAGGAAGCTACGATACCCTGGAGAGCCCACAAATGTACGGGCAAAACATGCAGAACGGCTGAGAGGCGAGAGTCAAACAAGGAATGATATTGCTGCAAAGGCAACGGCGTCAAGTGCCCAGCTTTTATTTCCTCACCAATAAATCCAAATAAACTACATAAAAGTTTAGAAATGAGCCAAACGTGAACACATTTTTTTTAGTGAGAATAATAATTGTATCAAGACAAAATGGAACAGAGTTTCCAACTCTATGCATGCATAAAATACTTAAATTAATTATGTGGCTACTGAGGGTAATTTGTAGCTTCACGTGTTAGATAAAGGTTTTATTGCGAAGAGAAGAGCAGATAGGCAGGTTGTAAATACTTGGATCTATTCATTTTTTTATAATGTTTCAGTGAACACGCCAGTGAACGTTGTGCTCTTCAAAAGAGCCTCCTAGGTTTAAGTTTACACTTTCAGAGGCATCACAATGGTTGCGAAGTAATGATGTGAAGCCAAATACCTGCAGCTGGTGAATGAGTCCCTTCATCCCCTTTTTATCAGATAGTGCCTGTTTCAGATCAGATCATCCAGTGGCTCAACTGAATGAAAGGCCTGTGTCCAGCGGCCCCCACTCCAGCAGAATCATAATGAATGGCCCTGCTTTCACTTTTTTTTCCCCGCTCCTTTGCTGGAAAATGCCATTGTTAAGCCCTTCTTCATGAGAGGACACGTGCTGCAGCTTGAGTGTGGAGTTCAATGTCTGTTTAGCTCCCTTTGGACAGCAGTGACTGAACCATCGGAGGCAATAATCAGGCCATTTATGGGCCACATTAGTCAGTTTATGAACATGACTTATAAATCTTAAGACTTTAAGGAAATCACATTGTTGTACAAAGGTAAAACTTTAATTTCAAACAAGTTCAAGATAAGTACGTTATTCCCTCTGTGTTTTGTGGAGCTTTATTTTTCAAATTTGAACAGTTTTATGCACTTTTTTTTTAACCTACGCTGACATGACCTTAATACATAATTTAACTATTCATCTTGTATTTGCATAAACTAAGAGGTTTTGGAGCTTTGCTGGGGTGTGTTAGGGTCATTGTGGCCCTCCCCTCCCTGTGGTGTGTGTAAATGAGTTTTGATGTGACAAGGGAGAAAAAGGAGTGGAGGAGAGGGAGGAGAAAGAGGGAGGGAGCGTAGCGTAGCGGTGGGAGGAGAAGTGAAGGAGCAAGCACTTCTCCACTCACTGGGAATATAGAGCATACAGAGAAGATGGATCCAGAAGAGAGAGGTCACTGTCAGATAAGCTGAGTTGGCTGTGCTTTATCAGCTACAGGCTGCTCCCGGCTGATCTCTGGACTCTCAGATTGAGCAACTCACCAGGAGACTGGCAACTGAATAATGATAAAAAAAAGAAAAAACAGCAGCTTAATAATGCAGGAATAACTAACAGGAACACGCATGTGGGTTTTGGAAATGCATTGACTGAGAAATGTTTTCTTTTGAAGTTTTGAGGAAGAGCATGATAGGTTTCAGAGGACAAGGTGGGAGTCGGAGGACGGGGTCCGGTGACAGCCAGTGAAAGGGCCCAAGCCCTCATGTGAAACACAGAGGAATTAAAAGGTAAAGGGCAGAGAAAGAGCAACTGAGGCAGACTGGCGGGCTGCAGACGGAACGTCAGGATGGGTGTGAAGCGCAAGGCGGCCGCTGCTATCTTGGTCCTGCTGCTGTGTCTCGGATCACTGTGGCTCCGTGAGTATTTCTCTGGGTGTGCAGTGCTAGTCAGCTACGATTAGTTTTATTTCTGCCGCTCTGTTGGGAATGCATTTTGCTCAGATTGAATCACATGGTGCAGACTCAGAAACACTGGTCCTATTTCATGAATATGGATCAGTACGATGTCATGTACCTTTAAACTTAATTCTGGGGTGTTTGGCTTTCATAAACTGTCAGGTTTCTAACTTACAGAAGAAATTTCTCTTTTACTACTATAAAAGGTTTCTTTTATATTAAAAACTTTGTTAAGAGGTTTCTAATATAAAATAAAATAACAACCAGATAACAAATGTGTGATGTAATAATTCCAGGAAGGTCTAAACTGAGACCATGTGATATCTGCTCCAGTACGGATTGAGAGCTGATCCTGGTTTTTAGATGCACGTTCATCTAAACCCAACTGAAAAGGTTCTTCAGTCCAAAAATGACCTAAAAATGTTTCTTTTTTACTTACTTTACTTCCTCATGTGTTATGAAAGCGCTTGTTTCACTTGAACTGAATCATACTGATAACTATGCTTAGAGACATCAAACTAACTGTATATATGTAAGTAATATATGTACTATTATATAATATCTTAATTTCAGTATATCTCATAAATATGATTTAGGGGCAGATTTTGCTTCCCCATATTTCAGGATGTAAAGAATATTATATTTTTGACTTAATTCAACAAGCAGCATAAATTCAAGTGACGTCAGGTGAGCTCACTGATTTAAATCTAGAGTACATTATAAAAATATTCATAGGCTTTGAACCATTTCTTAGTTCATATTTGAATATCTATTGCAAATAAAATCTAAAACTTGTAGCCTTTTGTTTGTGAAATTTTAGAGAATATCTTTTTTGAATACTTTGTATAATCTGGGGGAAAATATTAACCTTGTTTTGCAGCAACAGTAACATTTATGTGAGGCCTATTGTATTTTCACCCTCCTGGAACTTGGGGAGGGTTTAGATAAGAATGAAGCGCTCCTCCATTTTCAAGGTTTCGAATGTCTTTGTCAACATCCAAGTACTGAGCCAGAAACGCTGGTTCCCATACTCCCTGTGAGAAACTCTGTGAGTCGTGACGACAGCGACTCTCTGTCTGATTAAAACAGATCAAACGGAGCAGAATTTGATTCTTGCAAGGATTGATAAAGTTCTGTTTGAGTGAAAGTCACAGATTTCTGTTTGTCATAACTGGAAACTTTTTTTTTTCCATTTTAATTTGTTCCATTATCAAGTATTAAAGTCAAAACCTTTTAGAAAGACTATTTGATGCATCTGCAGATGCATGTCTTTTGAACTATGTCTTTATTGGTTTTATATGTATTGACAAAACGTTTTTTCTATTCTGCTTTGGTCATTGGATGGAGAGTCGATAGGCATAATTTCTTAAGTCTTTCCACAGATTCTCAATAGAATTCAAACACATAGATATCTGGCTTTATATTTAACCGCTACCACAGTCTCAAGTCTCACAGCCTCCAAAACCAGGAATGCTTCGGTTTACCTCTATTCACCAACTTTCCTGGAGAAGTAAAGCATCCTGTCAACACAATGCTGCATGGCGATGTGTTCAGCGTCACCTGAACTCATTTACACAATTTTGCATATTATCCAAAAATGTAAATACTGGTCTGAGTTGACCAGAGAATCTTCCTTCACTTCTTTGCTGTGTCCCCTGCACTGATTGTGACAAATTGAAAGTAGGAATTACTGTGACATTGTTATTGCCAATCTCCCTCAAAGTCTGGATTGACGAGTAACAACTAATATTTGCACAGTTGACAGATTTTCCTTCCTCACCTGTTAATCTGTTGAATTCCTCCTTGGCTTCGAAAGGCAATTGGTTGCATTATTTATAGGTGTCAATAAGGTGAATTAACACAAATACACACTTTTTCTGAAATCCTTGTCTAACTTTAAATCATCAGAAATATTTGAAAGCCAGTTATTCCTTAATCTGTTTCTAGGTAGTAGGATTACCGATCGGCAAAACTGCAGCACATGAGAACAAAAGTAGGCTAACCTCAAGTAACTGAAGACAATTAGAGGCATTACTACAGCAGCAGGATTTAACAAATTAAATCCACCGCTCATTGATCCGCTCTTCACCCCCTTAGCCCACTCTAGACTCTCTCTTTCTGTTGATCTTTCCTGCAGCATGCAGCTTTTCTCTTTTTTGGATGAACTAATCCTTAAAAAAGAAAAAAAGAGAAAATTATCAAAAATAAAAGCAACTATTGTGAGCTGTTGGACATGAAGGAAGATTTTATGGCTTCTTCAAACACTGACAAAATATAGACCATCACAATTGTCAATTTTGAAGAGATCATTGCCAATATTGTATAACATGTTCATGTTTTTCTTACTGCAGAGGGAGGTTTGGACTATCACTGGGATTCCTGTTTAAAAGCTTACAATCAGGTTAATAAGGTAAAAAAAACACAAAGGCTGTGTAGAAATGACTCAAAACTGGGTTTGAGTTGGGAAGCACACTAGCAGTGAATCAATAAGTCACCTGAGCTTTGTCTTTCTTTGTCCCCTGTCAATTAACCCCTGACCTCACCACACGTCCCCAGCCCCCTCTGCAGAATCAGCCTCACCAGCTGTCCAACAGCAGCGAGGCAGACGAGACGCAGGGCCCGCCTGTCCTCGCTCTGTGTCCCGGCCAGCACTTCCAGGTGTCAGTGTTGGTCTCCCACCTGCTGGCTGCTCAGGCGTACACCTCGGATGTGCTGCTGCAGCCGTATCTGTCCAGCTGGGACGAGCTTGTAAAGTAAGAGCATCTATGAAAGCTTTATCACAGTCACAGATAAATAAGCTTGAAAAACACTCATATCCCTTGAAATGTTCACAATTTGTCAAACTTTAGTCTATCTTAATGGGACTTTATGATACAGTGACAAACACATCATTCCAACTTTTAAATAAATTTTTAACAATATTGGACCAGACATAACTGTGCAACTGTTTTGTCTGTCTTTTACCTAAAATACTAATAAAATAATGCTTAGAAATGTTGGGTTTTTAGGCACATAAGCAATAACAAGATAACATCAACAAGGTGCTGTACATACAAACCCACTTCTGGCACTCGAGGAGGATTATTTCTGTTCTTTGTCTCTGTCCCAGGTTCATGGAGTCTCTGGGCCCGATGGTTAGTTTAATATCAAATGAGATAGAGACTAAGACTGCTATAATCCGCCAACTGGCCCTGCTTTCTGAGAAGAGCCCAGAAGCAGAGTTTGTCCCAGACATGCACTCAGGAGACTCACAAACTGGGGTGAAAAAGTTTGCTGGGGATCCGCAGGGGGCCTACCACTCCGTGCGCTCGATGATTTGGACTGAGCTGAATCGAGGCATAGTCGATTTCCACCACCAGACAGACTCAGGATGCCGGACCCTTCTGCGACTCCATCGAGCTCTGCTCTGGTTGAAACTCTTCCTGGAGAAGCTGGCAGAGACGCCGACGGCCGGACGCCTCAGGAGTCCCTCGGACCTGTGTCGGGAGGCGTACCAGAACACCCTCTCTCACCACCACACTTGGTTTGTCCGGCGGGCGGCTGAGTTGGCCTTCATCGCCCTGCCGGAGCGAGGATTTTTCTTCAGGCTGGTGTGTGTGCAGAACCAGGAGGAGCTGAGCGTGGTGTTAACCAGAGTAGTTGATGCCATTGGAGAAATCTATGACAGGACACAGAAAGCACTGGAGGAAAACGCCATGCTGGACTTACCTTGACAATGTGAATCATCTTTTTGTCTTTGGAATCACCATTAAACTTTCAGTTTCAATCAAGAAAGAAGTAAACCTTTCGAAACCAGCTGAGCAGACTATTACAGAAGTCAAGAAATAAACAGTCTGAGCTTATAATCGAATTACCTTAGAGATAATTCGATGAAATAGATGACATACGGAGGCACCGACTCATTTAATCGGGTGAAAACATCATTATAAAAACATCTGCGTAACACATTTCCCAAAGGAAGCAGTGCTTTGTGATTGAATCAGATTAATTGTTCTTGTTTTTGTATATTCCTCTGCCTGTTGTGGCATTTTTCTATGGATTAGATAATAACTGCCTGATTAAGTGTGAAGAATTTCATGCTCATTGATTTCGTATGCTGATGCCAACAAATTGCTGCAGCAGCAGTCTCTCATGATGAGATGTCTCCTGTGAAACAGTATGTGCAGAACGGGGGATGACATGCTGCATTTTACAGTAATAAGAACATGTTCTGTAATATTGTAATATTTAGAAAAAAAATAAGATTTAGTTAGACAAGAAAAAAAGTACTTTGCAGTTTTCTTAAAAATATGCTGCAGACAAAATATGTACATATTAATCCAGGTCTGGATGAGTCTGAAAAAAAATGTGTTTCTTCATTCATTCCTTTCTTCATTCTGTATGTTTTTTCCCCCTTTCAGGTTAGAAAAGGTTGCAATGTGTTAAATGTAGGAACATTATCATCAGAGTCTGGAAAAGTATGAAATCTTTACCTCGACATGCTGATTGTAATGTGATAATTCATCCAGCAGAGGCTCCAGTACTCTAATCTGGAGTAATCTTTCTATTCCAACAGCTTCCTGGCTTAAATCCACTGACAGGCCAGAGAAACAAAAAAGCAATAAATATATAGGCTTTATGCATTCAGCTTTCTTAATGAAAATGTCTTGCAACTAACATTCACTGGTTTACATCCCACTATTTTAAAACCCTACAATGCTTCATAATCCTGGCCACCTGCCTTTCCTTGCATTAATCTCTTTCTAAGGAGGAGAGAAAAGAAAGGAGGGATAAATATACAGCTTGAAACCCTGGCAGAGAGCTGCAGCCATTCTTTATAACAGCTTTTACATAAAAAATGTGGAAAAAGCTGTTTTATTATGATTCTATGTCAGATTAAACATCTAAGTTTAAGCAGTTTTCTGTTAAAAACTCCAGCCAAAGAGTGAATTTGGACTTTCACTGTAATAACTAGTTTATTATGGTTTAAAAAGTTTATCCCTGCCAGTTCCACTCATTCTATTTCATAGCATCTAAAGGTGGAAACAAAACTCCTAGTATTTAAGATTATCTCCAAATTTCAGGAGATGGTTTTGAATTTTTCAAAGTGAGGTTCTGTTAAAATATTACAGGCAGTCCATATCTAATCTGCAGTATATTGTCCTCTTGGTGTCTTCAGCTTAGCATAGATCCAGATTGGTTGGAGTAACAAGCGGAAGCTAAAGGCTCGCTAGTCCAAGAGCAGCCAAGACCAAAGCAAACGCCTAACTTCTTAAAACAACTGTAATCTTAGAAATGTCCCAGTTTTTTGTTTAATGCAGTTTTATAAACCTTTAAACTGTTTCTATGTTTGAATTGGATAGTTATTTACAGAAAATCTGATGTTTCTAGAAAAGGAGGTAAGAGTCGGCGCATCACTAATAATCTTCCTGCAGGAAACAAACATATTGAGACAGATACAAAGTGATTAAATGAAGTTAAAACATGAATCACCTTTGACAATTTGACTGTCATATAAAAAATAGTGAACTACTGCTTTAAGACAACTCTGATCTAAAAATTGACAGCAGTTTATGCAAACACTTTTTGAAACTTTATACTTGTTACATTTGTGTGGGTTTGCTATGGACCACTGAGATTATTTTGAGTGAGATTACAGAATATATTTACAAAAAGACACATCTGACACTTCCTGACTCCTTCTTTTTCCCTTGAAAGTATAATATATTGTTACAACGTCACAATCATCGGATAATGCCACAAAATAATCCAACACTTCAGTAAACATGAAGCTAAGATGCAAGAAGCAAAACCAAGGCCGAGTTCCCTTAAATGACGTTTCTTTATTTATTTTTTGTCTTGACTTAAACATGACCAAAAATAGACATAAGGTAAGAGCCAAAAATATGGATCCAGGATCATTTATTTTTTATTTTTTCATAAATGTATATTTTAGGACAATTCTTTAAACCACAATCATAGCAACAGTGCAACTTTAAGAAGGTAGGTGTGGGTGATGATATCTCTCATATTTACTTACTGCTTGAATCATGAATTTCTCTCTCACACTTCACACTGTGCAGCTTTGCAGTTTCTGAAAGTGCTTTGAGGGTTAAAGTCCTGTCAGAACTTTGATTGCAAGCTTTAAAAGCTATTTTTCAAAAATATTAATTAAACAGAAAAAGACAGACTCAAACAGATGTTAAAAACATTAAACCAAAATGCAAGTCTAAACAAATTTCTGGCATGTTGGCCTTTTTGTTTAACTAAATGATGAAACCTCTTCATGTAGCTTTTGTTACACAATACAGTTCAAACCTTACATTCTCATCTCGTTACAGCAAAAATACTCTTTCATTCACGAAGCATTTTATTATTCACGTTTTCATATATTGGCTGCGCACAAACGTGTTCCTTCTTTCCCTCTTGCTCTTGAACGTACCGAATGTTACCGTTCCTCTAAACAATCACACATTTGCACAGGAGATAAATATATATTGCTCTTTGATAACATCTCCAAATTAGCACAGGAAAAAATAAAGGGATAAATTGAGATAGCAGGAAAGAACATTCTGTGTAACTGGAGGACAAAGATGTCTGTCCACCAGGAGGCACTGTTTTGCTGCAGGGAAACGTTTTCCACTTGTGTGCGTATCTATTATTGTATGACGAGAGGCCTTTATGATTCTGTGGGTGAGATTTTTGCTCAGACCAGCAAGCGTGCATCTATCCGAACTGCAAAAACAGATGGAGTGTAAATTGTGATTAATATCTTTGGCAGAAGGAGTAATATTCAAGTATGAATGACAAGAAAAAAAGAGTGAAATTGACAGATGAAACCAAACATTTGACCAGAGGGATTGCAGTATTGACTGGATGTGGGTTTGAAAGTATGAAAAAGCTAGAATAAGAGCGCAGCTCTAAAGCCATGAACTGGGCATTTGATGCTCGGTGCATGAACGACAAAGTAGGGTAAAGAAGTTCAGCGTGCCTGCTTTGGATTAGTTGACCAGATTAAGAGATTACAATGAAATTAAGTAAGAGCTGAAAGCAGGCCAGAAGAAGAGTGCATCTGAATCCCGCAGTGAGGTCCCAAAAAGCTAAAAGAGAAGAGCACGACAAAGCACATCTTGTTGAATTAGGATCTTAGATAAAAAATTAGATTATTAATGGTTCAATGTACGTATCCCTCTAGGCTCAGATAAAAGGTTCTGTTTGGACCTCTGTGAGAACAATAATATAGACAAGCAGAGTCAGGTCATACTTACTTGGGTTTCTGTTAAGAGCATCCACCCTATTTTGGTGCCACTAGTAAAAATTAGCAAAAACCCCTAAAATAAATAAATAAATAGTTTCATATTATGGCATTAAGAAATGTAAAACAGAAACAAAAAAGCCAACTTTGAATTTGATTACATTATGATGGCGCCACAATTAGCGGTAATACTAATAGTTCCTGTGAAGCTTGTTTACGTAAGTGGATCAGATCACCAGGAACTTTTAATTTGTAGTCCACGTTTCTTTTTTTCCTTGGTCACCTAAATACATGTAAGGCCTTTTTTACCCACAGTATAACATTCTGTGATTGGTTTTGACCTTCATGTGTCAGGAATTGAGATTTGTATCTTTTAGACGTGATATAAAATCCAGAAGTCTAACTATGTTTTCCTATTCAATTTTTGTTTTTCCATACATATCAGGAAAGTTTATCAAATGAAATTCCTTATTACTTCAGAAGAAGTGATTTAAGTTATTTATGCTACAAAAAAAAAAAAGTTTTTTGCAACCCATAACTTCTAGAGATACATTTCTCAAAGCCACTACCGTTCAAAAGCAGCAGATGGTGTGTTGATCTGAAAAAGTCAGGATGTAGCTGTAACAGACCAGGAGGAATCATATGGTCACCAAGTGTCTGTAGCAACATCTCCTTTCTAAGGTAGGCAATTGTTTAGGGCGCTGTACATGCTGGACAATATTACAGTTGAGTTTTTATAGATTTGTCAGAATAATATTTAATCTTTCAGGCAGGTTTGTGGGACGGCACAGCGGAGTGGATGCGCACCAAAACTCAGGCATGATAAATGACTTTTAATGGAGTTGATACTTAGATATTCATCATGAGGATTTTTCTCTTGTACAGCACAGAATGAAACAACAAAACAAACTAATAAATCTACATGTGGTCACTGTACATCTAAAAGCTTATTGAGTATTTTCTCCCATGAGCTCGTGAGGATGTAAGCAAGTCATGGGAATGTTCAAGATCAATATCCTGAATAGTGATGATGAGTGTGGAAAAGATAGCAGGGAACAACAACAACAACAAAAAATCCCAAAAAAAAAGCTGTCTACACCCGCCTCCAAAAAAAATGCAAGTGCTTTTATTAAATCAACTCAGCTTCACAAAAGAAGGAATAAAAAGCACACTTCCAGTGCAAAACAATAAAAAAAATTGACATTGACATCTATTCCTGGTATTAAGGAAATAGATGCAAATCACTCAACAACAAAAAGAGACAGAAAACTAAATATTTAGGTTTGAATAAATAAATTACACCAGACATATAGCTTTGGATTTATCTTTAAATGAAACTGTACAGTGAGAAGAAATGAAACAACACTAAAAACTGAATATATGCTGGAAATGAGTTAAATTTATCTTAGGAAGTTGGCTAGGAAAAAAACAACCTTTAATAAGCTAATTCTGATTATCTATTGGACAAGCCTTAAAAAAGTTTTGCACAGATTTGTCTTTTCATAATCAACTCAGTGTTAAAACCACACCAGATATTGTTCCTGTTTGTTTTGTTAGCAGCTGCTCTGAGTTCAAAGTTTAAATATCCAGTGTGAATGATCTGTAACAGGAGCCATCTGATGAATGGATGCGAGCATTCATAATGTATGCCACTTAATGAATATTGCACATTGCATGCAACTTCCCGACCTACAATTAGAAATGGGATCTGTAAATGAAATGCAGACGCTCACACACAACAACAAAAAACATCCATTCAAGCATTTTTGGGGGGAGATATGCTTCCAAAAACACACACACACTTGGAGTGCATGAGGGTCAAAGCTTGTATTGTGGTCCCTCCTGGTGGTCAGTTACTTAACCTGTCCTTAGTTGACTAGAATGGAGCGGTGGGAAACAATGTGCCTTCAAAGCACACATAAACAGCACACACATGCAAATGGCTTCATCTCTGCATCCATCTATTCAGAAAAATGCAGGTTTGTTGGAGTACTCTTTTAAGTGCAACAGAACAGACAGACCGATATAAGGTTATGATGCCGTATAAATACTGTAGATATACACCGTTTGTATTGTAGTCTGTGTATATTCAGATATATAGTAGGAATACTCTCGAAGGAGGCAGCGGGAGGTGAGCAGCAACACTGTAAACGTGGTGAGGTTGCTTGCAGATTTCGAAAACACATCCTGTTTTATATCTCCTAGTTTGTCATGCAGTATAAATAGAGGTCACCGCAAACTAATTTACAGAAAATCATTTGTCTGAACGCTCACCGACAGAAACAAGGACAGCATCACCACCCTCTCGTGCTCAATTTACCCTGTCATACAATCCCCCTTTCCCCCTAAAAAAAAAAGAAGAAAACTGGAGCAGGGTGCAATCGAATCACATGAAGGATGTGAATACTGCGGGTTTATTTTTCTGTGTATGTGCAGCGGTGCAGAAGATGGGGGGAGAGGGGAAGGAGAAAGGGGAGAAAAGTTTTCATTTGGGGTCAGCCTAGTTTTGGGAGTTGATCCTCAGCTTGAAAGACACTCTACCAGCAAACTTGTCTCTTTCATTTCCAGTGGGAATGTTGTTGGCGTGGATCTTGCACTCGATGTTGACGTCTTGATTGACGGTGATGTTAAGGAACTTGACAGCGACCAAAGGCTGAGAGTAGTTCACCTGCAATACCAGACCAAAGACAAACGTTCTAAAAATACAGACAAATCTGAAAACATTTCAGAATTTCGACTGTCCACAGATTGAAAGTACTTTCCTACCTGAGCTTTCTTGCCATAGTAAGGGTAGTACATTAGATCAAAAGTGCCATTTGAAGGGAAGTAAATCATATCTCCGATTTTGTCAGAGTCGTCTCTCTAAGAGGGAGGAACAGCTCTATCAGTAATAAAAACAATTAAGTTATCGTCTTCTTCATTCTGAACCTTGTTTAAAGCACATACCAACTACCTACTTCAAGTCTATTTAATATGAAATTGTAAACTACAGATTTCTAAATTCTTTACAAATAATCTTTCAAAAAATGTGCCATGCATTTGCATTTAACTCTGCCGAATCAAGATGTTGTACCTTTTGTAGCAATTAAGATTGTGTTTTTTTTTGCCAGCTTCATTTTCCAACAGATTGAAATATTTAAATTTTTTTTCTTTATCCCAATGTGAACTTAAATGTTGTTGTTTTAACTCATATTATCCAAGGTTCTTCAAAGAGATGCTGTGGGCAGGAAGGATCTCCAGTAGAAGATTTCCTTTCTCCAAAAAATGAGGCTTCGGACGTTGTGTCTGTACGTTCGCAACAATTGAACTGATGACATCACATGCATTGTCAGAAACAGCCTAGCGAATAATGTAAGTGGTTCCCAAAATAACAGTGTTGAACTGAAGAGTTTGGTATCTGTGCTTCAGAGGCGACTCGTCACTGTAACATGTCCTGGATGACACCATCTGTTGTTGGTGCAGTGAACGTTTTCCATCACATGTCGCATTTAGCATGGAGCCAAAACTTTAGTCTAACCTGACAAGAGCTTCTTTTTCCTTGTTAAATTTTTTCTCTCGCCAATTTTCTATGAAACTAGATTTGTGTAATGACCAGTTACCTTTGGCTTCTTAGCTGCTTTTCCAGTATGTCTCCTATTTTTGTAGATTTTGCTTGCGCCACATTTTACAGTCTTAGTAGATAGATTGAACAGTGATATGTGAGATGCTGAAAGCTTGGAAAACTGACATCACTTTGCTTTAAACATTCCTCCCAGCCTGTCTGCCGGGTTCGCTGGTCTCCGTGATGCTTTTTGTTCGCTAATGCTCTCTAAGAAACCTCTGAGGAATTCACAGAACTGTGCATGGGCACCACTAATGGCAACCGGACTGGATTATATTTAAGTGTTTCAGAATAACACATGCATGTCACACTGTTCAGATTTTTATTTGTAAAGATTTTCTAAACTATGTATAATTCTCCTTCCACTTCACAGCTATGCAACAAGACAAAATGTAGAAAGAGTTTGAGAGGTATGTATATTTTTTGAGTAGTACTGCAGTTAATCTCTACTTTCTCACCCACTGCTAAGCATCAACATTTCACTATGTGCAACTTGTCTGTTGATCTTACCCATTCATCTTTGCCAACTCTGTATTTCTGAGAGGGAATAGTTTTATGGAGTACAATAAGAGCATAAAAGGACACCAGGAAATTTACAAATTAACACAAACATTGCTGAACCAATGCAAAAACTAGGAGGAAAATACAGGGGATAGCAGAAGACAGGCATGCTGCAAATGAGAGGAGCTATGAATGGGCTGGACTCCAATTTGTCATGGTAATCCTTTCATTGTGAAGGACAAAAAGGGATTACCTTTGCGCCACAGGTGACAGACGGAGCCTGTCCGTCCTTTCCTGGCATCATTCCAATCACCTGGTGTGGCAGAAAAGAAAGAAATGCAATTCATGTTTTATTATCAACCACCAGGGAAAACAAAAACACTCTTTCACATTGTGTTATGAAGCACAATGGATACTGTACTCTTGACCCAGACTTTTCTCCTTTGTAGGCTTTTTTTCCCCCAGTCTGCTTTTTTATGTTTCCTCAATGTCTCCTAGCAACAGCATCCATTTCCCTTCTTTTTCCTGTCTTTCATACCCGATTCAGCTTGATGATGATGCACGGCTTGCCCTCCTGGTATCCATAGTAACGGTCGTGGAGTCCAGAGCACTCTTCCAGAACGGTTCGGTTGAACTGACAGGAGCGCTTGGGGTTGTTCTTCACATCGCCGCTGTCCTCCTGCAGGAAGTACTGCTCCGGAGTGCACTCGTGGTTCTTCTGGGCCTGGATGGAGTCGTTGTAAGCTGCAGGAGACGAGGGGAGGGTGGGGGAGAGGAGCATGAGGGTGAGGGTTAGTCGGTTTTGTGAAGCCTCATGACTCAACTGAAACTCTGCCGCAAGGCAGCCTCCCACTCACTGATGGAAAAGGAATGATCCAGTATTAGAAAAGCACAATTGGATAATCCACAGCTGTGGAGTCGGACCAGCAGAGGACGGGAGTCAGACTTACGTGACAGGAACTTGTCCAGGGCCTGAGCGTACATATCCCAGCTCTCGGTGTTCTGGATGGTGTAAACTATCTCGAAGGTTTCGTCCTGATGGGGTCTGATCACTAAACCTGTGAGAGACAGAGAGGCAGCAGGGGGGGTCATGACGACTCACACAAGAGTGGGTTCTGGATCCATGCTGTTTGAACTGCCGCTATCTGGCACCTGGTGTGGAAAGGCGGTCCTGCCAAGTGGGTTTGTGGTCATCCAGGGTCTGCAGCATGATGTACATGGTCAGAGTAAACAGGCCCCCCAGGAAGAGGTAGAAAATGATGTAGAACAGAATGATGAGGCCTGAAAAAACAGAAAGAAAATCTAATAAATATTGTTACATTATATATAAGCTATGAGTCAGAAAAAACCAAGAGTTTCGCTGTTCAAATCTAAACCCTAAAACAATAAATATATGATTTAATCTTTAATAGATTTTTGTAGCTTCAACATAAAGCCTGTGCATTAACTCTTAATTTTTACCCATAAAATGATACAGACAAGTTCCCTCAATTCTTGTACTAAAAACTGCTTACTTTTATATCATTACTCTCAGTTTTTAAGTTTTTCATACTTTTGTAATTTTACACAGAGCATTTGGGTCTTTCTGCTTCTCTTATATTTTTGCTTTCCTTCCATTTTGTTTCCATTTTATGTGACCTAATGACCATATCCATCCCATCTAGTCAGTCTGGGTCACAACATGGTCAAATGGCTAAAGGTACGATTTTAGATTGTTTCGGTTTAGGTGTAACTAAACACAAGTGTTTTTTTTAACTTGCAAAAATCATTGTGAGATGCTTTAAACTATTACTATAATGAAAAACTTAATACTAAAGCAGCGACAATACAATACTGCATTTACAGAAAAGAACAGAAAAAAAAGTCAACACTGAATATTTTAGCAATACTAGAAAATATACGTTTAAATGTCAACTAGGAAAACTAGATATCAGCAGAGTGAGAGAGAATGCTGAACTTTTGTATTAATGGAACAGGAAATGCTTTTATTTTGCAAAGCAGAAAGTGTCCTGGTAATGACATAGATCAACAGTGGGAGAGTGTTGAAGGTTAAATTTAAAATACTTTGGTTTTTGTTCTGAGCAGAAGACAAAGGAATACAGTTTATCAGAGCCCCTAACATCTCATGATTTACATATTCAGGGAAATATTGCTGATGTCTACAGTTTGATTTACTTTGAGTCTTTAGAACAAAAGTCTAACTAAAAAAAAAGAGAAAAACCTGTGTAGTTCAAATTGACAGTTTTAAAGAGCTCGTTTTAAGTCTTTTCCTGCCCTTGCAGAGATGCAGGCAGCAGAAATAGCATTTTTTTGACGCATTAACACCTGAGGCCGACACTGGGAAGCAACTGAGTGCCCTGACCCTGTGCTTCAGCTGGAAGCCCCCAGCAAAGCCCTCAGTCAGCAGCAGTGTGGCGTCTGCCTCCCTGCACAAAGCAACACTGCCGGTAATCCATAACAAAATGTCAAGGGGAAGCTGATCCAAGGGAGGGCAATTACCAAAGAGTTCCTTAATGATTCAAAGCCCGTGTGGGTGTGCTTTTCATCCAGTTGTTTTCAGAAATATTCAGCTCATTGCTGCATCAAATCAAAGTAAAATCGCAGACGACTCGTTTGTTGAGGAAGACGATATTAGCCGACGAGTCAGTGAGCAGAATAAGACATATTTGGACAAAGAGGTGACAGAGCGACGTGCTGAAGCATTTTTCTTTGTCTCCCCAGGGGGAGGTTGTGCCAACCATGTGACACCACCCAGGGGAGACTGGACGTGCACAATGGCACACACAAACAAACACACAGGCATCCCTCACTAAAGTAAAGAGGGTGTTAGGTTCACAACGTGTCCTCTGAGTACACACTGATGACAGACAGTCAAACATCTCTGTTTCAGCCATTGGCAAACAGCAAATGAATGCAGTCTGTGCCCAACTCACTAAACTGGAAGATCATGCTGGGCAATTGCATTTTAACTTGATATAAAACTGCATTCTGATTCAAAAGGCCAAAGGAAACACTTTAGAAAATCAAATCAGGGTTTATTGGTTTTAATGTTTTCCAGTCTCACAATGAGAGCGTTAAAAATTCGCCTCTCTGACGTCGCAGTAAGAGTTCTACCTCTTTTTTAATTTCAGAAATGGGATATGCAGAAAACCACACTGGTCCTGTGTTTAGCCCAGGCTCAAAGCTGTGTCATCATCAGATGGCGGACCTTCAGAAAGGCTGCTTTCACTTCCCCACAGCCCTGCACACAAAGCGAAACATGCAGAAGCTTGTTTCATGTTTCGTCCTGAAAGCAGGCTTTGATCCAGTGTTCTGAAGTGTTCATGAGTCGACACAAGATGAGGAGCAAATTCAACAACACGTTCAGTTAACTTGTTTTGAACTTAGCAAAAATAAAGAATATGCTTTCTACCAACCGTTTACAATCATGCAAGTAAGAATACAATGGAATATGTATAATTTTGCAATCATAATGGTGTGACTTTATTCCCAGTGCAGTTCTGTGAAATGCCAAGTGAAGCCAGCCTGTAATAACTCACAACGGAAATAGACTAATTACCAAGTCTTAGAGAGCACAGATTAAAAAGGCCATCAGACCTTGGAGCAACGGGAACAAACTGAGCTGGATTAAGTTTGCTCTGTGGGAGGCAGAGCCGGCCCAAGGCACATGCAAATTTAGCAGCTCCTCGAGGCATCCAGACCACCAGGGGCAGTCTGGGGCCAATCACTGAAGGAGCCTACGTTTTTGCTTCATAGTTTTATAAATGAATAAAAATTAAGAAGTATTAGCATCTGAAATTCTATTGAACGTGTATTTCAGACTCAAAATATACTAGCTGTCATGGAAGAAAAATGATCAAAATCACGATTTCGTCTTGCGAGTTTCATCAGTTTGCCTGCATGTGTCTGTGCTGCAGTACTTCCTGCTATATAAGAGCAAATTAATCAATTAATAAATTATGACTCCCAACAAACGAAGGCATTGATGATCGATTCTCTTCTCTGCTCTGGTCACATCAAGTCAAAAGTGCCATGAACATGCTGGTGAATAAATATTCATTTAGTTGTCAATTTTGATCAAATTGGGAAAAATATGCTTGAAAAACCAAATGTATTTGCTATTTTTCTGTATAATGTATCAAACCCATGACTATATAATCAGATGCAAAAAGGAGCAGATGAAACTTGAACTCATATGTTCAAAGAATTTATCTTTATTTATATCTAACAAACATGTTGGAAGTTCATATTTTCCACATTTATCTGAATTATCACAAATATAAACATGTAGTTAACATATTATTTATTTATTGGGCGGAGGCAGGTTTGGTTTTGGACATCAGATATATAAATACACCTTTTATAATCTGTCTGTAAGTAGTTGGATATAAACACACGAGCAATACAGAGACTTTGAAGTCAAAAGATCAAATCATTTAAATTGTTCTTTAAAATCCTTTGCTTTGCCAGAACATCCCGAATTGATACCTTCTTCATCAGCCAATGAAGTCATTAGATTAGGATTAAATCTCTCTGCTGAACTACACAGCTCGGGAGGGGTCGGGTTGAGGGTGATACAAATAGCATTTGGTCCTCGGCTTTACCCAGATTAAAATGCCCCCAGTGTCATTAGAACGCAGCCATATGTGTCCTGCCGTTTCACGAATCTTTAAAATAGTTGTACTCTATGCTGGGATGCTTCTGGAAAGTTTTAGGGGCGATAGAGATTATGAGTGTTGGGGTGACACTCATAATCTCATGTTAGCCGACTAAAAACCGAAAGCCAGAGAATTTAAAGGATTTTTATCTTGTTGCCGGTTACAGGCTGTGGGGGGGAGGGGCGGTGCATGCAAGAGTAAAAACTGACATATGTATATATGAATAAATAAATGTCTCTCCAGCTCAATCACAGTTTTCTACAGACTCGTTGCCTCCAAACAAACTATTTTGTACCATTTGTACATCATTGTATATCAGTTTATTTGACTTGATGGTTAAATATTTTTAATAGCTTATAGATAATTTGTATTATTGGGGTTTTTTGATTGATGTAATCTGCAGATAAAACATGTCAGTCAATGGAAGACGCCATGTTTCCATTTGCTGTGGGACTGAACCTGTTTGGTCAAATTGAGTCTTGTCAGACATGAGAGATTATGAAAGTTTGTCAAACCAAAATGACATTTTATGCCAAAGAAACAATTTCATCCATAAATGTGTATTGTTCCTGATGCTGAATTATTTTCTTTGATCAATTACAGAGACAGGTCTTTATAAAGACACCTAAATTTAGCTGTGAAACCCCATTTGGACCAACTTGCTTCAATGAAATATGACACAAATCAGAGCAAATAACTCCAAGTGACTTTTTGAGTAATGGAGTTTGTAGATGTTTGCTTAGAGGAAACTGCAATTAATCATTTATAGATTACCAAAAGCAGCAAAGAAACACTTGTGAGTATGCACAAACTCACAAATGACCCACATCAGAAGGCTCCATTTTGGAAAAAGTCAAGCTAGAAATCAAAACGAGCAGCTTTGCACCTTAACTTCTTCTCTTTTGAAATCATGATCATAAATAAAACTAGACATATGAGACTTCCTGACAGGAGGCAGTAAGTTCATAGGAGGGGCCACTGCCCCGTCGCTGGCAGCGCCCATGTCGAAATGGCATTAAATTAAGTTGAGGAAGAAGTCTCAACATGATGCAAATCGCGTTGCATCGTGTTGTACCCACATCTGACGAAGATACATGTATGAAAAGGAGTTTCAATTCCTGGAAAAAGGGCTTATCTGCAGCAGGGCTCAAAGTAAAGCAATGACAAAGTAGAGCTGCTTTAATCTGCACAAATCACATGCAAAAGGGAGGACAGAGGATGACTTCACCCGTATGAGCCAGGAAAAGCTCTGTCCTATATTACTAATAGCCCGCCATGAGGGGAATAATGTGCCGGCTTCTGCGAGAGCTGTGCCGCAGTCAGATTTCAGCACCACGGCATTTGGACAGCGACTGTCTACTCTTTGCATGAACACCCGCACTAATAAACTTCTTCAAAGATGTATCTCTAACGCTGTCGTGCATATTTTTAGGGGCATTTAAAAGCCCTCCGTGTCGCCGGAGGGCTGTACTCCATAAGAACGACCTGTTACAGAGCCGGGAGAGCTTGTTTGCTGCATTGCTGTAAGCTGGACGGACTTACTCACCCCAGCTGCTCGCCGTTCTGCCCAGAAACTCCCTGGTCCTCGGGTTCCACAGAAACTCTTTCCATTCGCCTTTTTCTCCGTCCTTTGCCATCTTGTCCTAAATGTGTTTGTTGTTTTCCTCGCCTCTAGAAGTTGCGATAAAAATTGTTCTGCAGGCAAGGTTGCAACAATTGCCCCGACACCGGTTAGAAAAAGAAAGAATATATATCTATATATGTAAAAAAACAAAAAAACAACAAAAAACAAAAGCAGAGAAGTGATGGACCCGAACGCCCAGTGCAAAACAGATGGTTAGAAATGAAAGTGAAAAACTGTACAGTGGCCTGTCTGATGAGAGAGCAGCAGGACAGACCTAATAATAAGTGCCCTCCCCCCAAGCTCTAGTCTGCATGCCGCAGAGTTTTGATGAGTGGTGCAGAAATGTAGTGATACTGCGGTAAAGCACTCCCTCCGCCTCCCTGTACGCTTCACACACACACATCCGCACACACACGGACACACCGAGCCTCATCTCCCTGCCTCCTTCTGCAGGCTCAGCCAATCATCTGCTCTCCATCCTCACTCCTCGCCGACCCGAGTCATGAGAGACAAGCCTGCAAGCAAATTGCGTGGCCAGCCGGGGTCTGTTTTTTTATTGGATCGGAAGCGAGAAGCGTCATGTATCCGCACGACAATCAACAAATAACATCACCCGATAGTCCCACAGGGACCCCCAAAGGATCTACTTCAAAATACTCGATCAGATTCTGTCTACTAGTTTAGTTAAGTTAAATCGGATAATCATTAACACACGGTTACAAATAGAGCATTAAATGAGATTCAATAAGTGAAGTTGAGTGACTTATATACAACTTCTCAAGCCCTGTTGCGTGATGACATCATGTCAAACAAAACAGAAGGAAAGAACTGTGTCAAGTTAAAACTTCTGTCACCCGATGGGGCCATTGAATGTGGTGCTTTGCGCAGACCCGAAAAGGGTGAAATGAGGAGTGAAGATAGCGCCCTCATTTGGGAATAGTACGTACTGCAGGAGTGCGGAAGGAACACGGTGTCCCGCTCCTCCCCTTTGCTGCAGCTGCTGCAGTGTCATGCATGTTGCATAAAAACGCCTTCCAAGAGCCGGTCCAAAGTTTTCACGAGACCTCAAGTTGATTCGGGGGGTTCCCAACTACATCACAGCTCGACCAATATTCAGTTTCGTAATAATGATCAAATGACACAGCAGGAAAGTGATGTTAACCACTCAATAACTAAGAAACTTGCTGCTTGAATCAAATGTACTCTACATGATTTATGGGAAACTATGTGCATGCAAGAAAAGAAAATAAAACACACGTTTTTCTTGCTTGTCCTTAAAGAAATTCTGCTCTGGCATAAGAATAAGAAATATCCAACAAAATGCAGCTTTTACTTGTTTCTATGAAACAAGTAAAAGCTACTTGTTTCTATGAAACAAGTAAAAGCTGTTTCATAGAAACAGCTTTTACTGTTTCTATGAAACGGTACAGGGAGTACCGTTTCTATTTACGGTACAACTGTTTGTACCAGTTTCTCATGAAACTGGTACAAACAAATCTGGGTGAAGTCAGTTCTTTTGGCAAAAACAAAACTATTTCATATAGAAATTAAAGTCTTTAATCTGAATGCACTGATTCACTTCTATCATTTTTGATATCAAGCATGACAGGATTTGTTTTGCATGATCACCGCTGCTTTGAAACCTGATTTGTGACTAATCTAGAGCACAAAATGTGTTAAGATTCCTTTAAAAATAAAGAAACAGACCTTTAAATTAAGCTAAATCTGAGGCTGCAATAAAATGCTCCGATTCACGAGCTGCAAAGTGGAGTTAACACAAAACAAAACAAACTTTAAACTGACATGCAAAATATGGAGTAGATTAATGTTTATTATTATTGCTTCAAGCATTTCCAGATCAAACTCTACCACTGGTGAGATCTAAGAAAGACCCTATAGTTCAACAAACATGGATCCAGTTTAAAACTCTGAAATGACAGACTGGGAGAAAGAAAATGCTCAATGGCCCTTATTTCATTTTTATAGGAATGTGTGTTTATCTGTGGGATAAATGGACTGAGATCTGCTGTAACATCACAAATCAAAGACTAAGGCATTCTCTCCTTCTCACGCATTTCTCACTTTTCTCATCCGGTGCTGAAAATATCACATCAAATTCCAAACTGTTTCTGACTTTCCAAGAATGTGTGCAGGATCCATCGATTTTTCCAGGTATTCATTCATCCATCCATGCAGGGCCACCGGGCGCATACAGGAACAGGGACCACTTTTGTTTGTTGTGTAAAGTTCATTATATAAAATTTATTTCCAATGACAATATCAATGCAAATATAGCACTACAGTGATTTCCAAGGTACACCGTATCTTACCATATCAATAGAGTATATGGCACTCGTATAATGGCCACAGTTTCAGAAGACACACAAAACCAACAGCCTCTGTAAACTATTCTGGAAAAATGGTAGCCTGTACCTCGGGTATCGCATCAGTCTGTGACAATAAGGTGATTACTTGGTTTTTAAAATCAAACTGGGCACAATAGGAAGTATCATTTGGAGCATTTCAGTGTAAGGAATCTCTGCATGCATTGCACTTGCCCATTTCCTCCAACTTGGCCTGTTTTTTATTTTCATTTTTTTTATGAAAATGGACTCAAAAGGCTTAGAAAAAGAAAGAATCAAACGAAAAAGAAAACGCCCAACACGAGCAGATGGACATAAACAATAGGAAAAGGCCAAAGAGTGAGTCTTAAACATTTTAAATAGGTCTTTTTTTCACTGGATGTACTGCACTGTACAGTTTGGTACTATAACTATTATTTAAAAAAAAAAAAAAAAAAAACATCAACCAAGAGACATTCAAGCGCCTTAATACTATTACAGGAGAGCTGACTCTTCAAGATACAAACTTCATTCCACGTTGGCTTTCTGGAAACCCCCGACCCCAGAAAAAAATATGTAACAATAAGCATCATATTAATATTGTTTATCATGGCAACACTATGTAGTCCATTGAACAACACGGGTATTGAAATAGCAGCAAAGTATTAAAAATGTTAAGACCAAAAAGCTGTTAAAATCTGTACATAAATAAAAGTGAATGTAGAAAAAGGGGATCGAATAAATAACAGAGCTTAAAGGGAACCTTGCATAAAATTATATAAACAACTGTTTGTTTTTGTTTTCTCCAGAGGGCTCATTGTTCATAAGTTGAACGATAAGTAATGCATGGGCTGCCTGCATCAGGTACTTAATTTCTTAGTAAAAAAACAAAACAAAAACAAAAAACAAGTGAACAAAGTTATGTTTATACAGTCTATGCTACATAATATGTATTGATTACAAGTATGAAAATGGAGATAATTGCTACATTTTCAATACACTTGTACATGTCTATTTACAGTAGATCAGGGTTTCTCCCCTAAGCGATGCTTTGTGCAGATTGTTCCAGCATTCGGGTTGAGGTGATCGATGCTCACAGTCTCATCAGCTGCACCGTGTTGCGCAGTCTTTGAGCTGATGGGTGTCAGTGCTCGGTGGAACGAACGCTAATGTGCAACTGCGTAAAAATCATGAGCAATGACTGGAGTTGTGTGTACCACTGATCTGTGTCTGACTATACTCGGCTGGACTAACCCAGCCCCAGACTCATCCTACGCAGTAGATTCATCTTTTTCCTACAACCACACAGGACCGTATAGTTAAGATCTGTCGGACAGGATCCTTGTTTTCTTTCTTTTTTTTTTTTTTGTCTTACGGTTACAGCACTGCATGTCTATTGGTGACATGCAGAGTATGACACAGTAAATATGACTTCTTCAAGTCTCAGATATGTATGTTAGGCTAGCTGACACAAGATTTATTATTCTTTTTAAATATGTTGCTCGAGAGTTTTTTGTTTTTTTTTCAGAGCATATTGCTGTAAAATTGCAGAAAGGTCGAGAAAGTAAATAGATTTACATTACAAATATGCAAACGGACACGGTAGGTAGCTTTTACTTCTCGGTGATGATTATTTGCATCCACAATGACAATCTATTGATACCAAGACATCTCATATACATTCACGATTTTCAAGAAACACTTCGATAACTTATCTACGAGTCTCGTCTGCTCTCCTCTGCAGAGTAGTTTCGATGCTTTGTTGAAGAAAGTACATGATTCCCTTGTGTCTCAAGTAGTCAGGAGGATATTTGGCAACACCAATCTAGGAAAACGACCCACTCTGTATTAGCAATAATAAGTGGTGTTTAGTGGCAAAAAATAACTTGTTGGCAATCAGAACACATCAGTGCAGTACGTAGTACAGAGAAAATACAAATCAGCCGGGTAAGAAATTAACTTAGTCTGATTGTAATAACTACATTTCTTCACCTCTTTTTGTAGTCAAAGTTCAACTAACCAGTCCCTATTACAATAATAGCAAAGTTTGCATTTAATATGCAATCTGTCTTCCTTAAGTAATTTCTCTCCCCAGACCGTTTGAAAGATGATATTATGTAATCCGCTTCTCCCGGGGTCAGATAGCCGTGTCCCACACGACGGCCTGCGGCCTCTGACAGGGTGGTGTGCCAGTCTTACGAGGCTCAGGTGTCCGTCTCCAGCTAGGGAGGATGGGCATGCTGTCCTGCTTGCACAGGCTTTTGTCGGGCCGTCTGTGTGCCTTAATCTCCTTGCACAGGCAGCGCTTACGTTCGATGACTTCAAGCAGCTTGCCGTCCCTCTGCGTCTGCGACGTAGACGACATAGTGCCCCCGCCAGCGGGAGGCTGTCCCTGTGCCAGCTGGGCAAGCTGCTGGAACTGCAACTGTAGGTGGTGCTGTTGCTGAAGCTGCTGGAGCTGCTGCTTGAGCTGCAGCTGCTGCTGGTGGAGCTGAAGCTGCTGCTGCTGCCGGGACACGCAGGGGCCGCTGGGGCTGCAAGGAGCCTGAGCCGGAGCCACGCCGTGCGGCTGCATGGGAAGTAGAAGGTATTGGTGTTTGTCAGCACATGACTTTCTGTAGTTTCAATCTAATCACAATGCATTAATAAATGGATAGAATCTTTGCACGTGTTATAAAAAGTTCACTTCCCACAGACAGCCACCAGGATGTGCTGTGGCTGCACGTTTAACAGTTTGACGTTCAAACGCATGCAGATAGTCTCTGCAGCACAGTCAAACTGCGTCAGCACTTGCAATAGAGCCAGAAACCGGGCAAAAATGTAATGCTGGGAGACTGCAGTTCACACTCCTGATTCAGCTGAGTGTGTTTTCACATCTGCAATGTATTCCTTCCTGACTGCTTCCATGTTTTTTCTGTCGTCATGTACCCTTTTTTCCCTTCCCAGACAAACCAGACCCTTATTCTGCTCCGTGGGCATAACTACCAGCTATAAATAGATCTGGAGGAGCAGTGTCTCCAGCAGAAGGGGGAAG